GCCCATGTAATATCCTCTATATCATAGTGTATTAATACAGTATGTTCTAGCAATAGCCAAAACATCTAAATTTCAAACACAAACCAAGACCGGGACACAGAATAGATTCAATGTTAGGATATCATATTCACTGTCTTTCCTACTTTAGACCATGTGTCATTCCCTAGAGAATCTTTGTTTGAGTTTTCATTCACATTCAATATAGAGTGATTTAAATTGGTCTGTCAAACAAAGTTGTATGATTAGTGACTAACAGTCAAAGTGAAAAACGAATAAAACAATGAGATTAGACTGTCTACTACAGTGTAAACCATATATCAGTGAACTAGCACAAGACTAAATACTAAATATTTTATTTAAAACATAATATGTTCTTTCTCTTATTAACTGTTCCCATGGAGTACTAATTCTAAGTAATTTTCTATCATATTTTTTATAATATCACAAAATATAACTAGAAATATTCAATGAGTGTAAATATTAAATTTTATTCATTAGGATTCCTCTTCGAGAAGGTTGTCAATCCTTCTGTGAAAAAAATAATAAGAAAAAAAAACTGGTCAAGATGATTTGGATGTATAATTAATTTTTAATAATTATTATTATATTGATGATATGAATATTACCTCAGTTCTTTCTTGAGATCTTTTGATCTTTGCCTCAGGATTTTCAAGATTTCATCATTTGAAAACTCTTCCTCTGAACTGTCAGCTAAAAGATTTTACAGGAGGAAACAATGCAGACAACATGAAATTACAGTGGTACCCTTTATTTTTAAACAAACACCTTCAAATCTGCATGTTTAGAATATTCCTGGGAGATTAAGAGTGGGAGAAGTGTGAAGCTTTTGTTTTATGGCCAGGACGACGCCTAACTGGAAAGACTGCTTCATATTGAAATGCATTGAAAGGCATTCATCAAATTAACTCGCTTGTTATTCTGTGGTTATTACCATGGTAACATAGGGATCCTGGTTTTGCAATAAAATTAAGCTTGCCGCTTGTTATGCAGGGTGTCTGCTCAGTAGAGACATAGCCACAATGGGGTTGATAAACACAAAAAAATGAGATCAAATGTTTTATTAAGGTTAACCAACATGGTGATGGTATGACTTACATGAATATCAATATCTTAGTTTACCTTGATCTAGAGTAAATGTTGGGTGTTTTGACTTCTCGTTAGTTCCACTGGCTTCTAGTCCTGTTGTTCTCTTCTCCTCATTATCACTAGTTGACTTCTCGTTAGTTCCACTGCCTTCTAGTCCTGTTGTTCTCTTCTCCTCATTATCACTAGTTGATGATGAACCAGAGAACATGTGTTCAGATATTACCTAAAAAAAGTCAAATTTGAGAAATTTTATCTACTAGCTATTCATTAGTTTCCTTTGAAGCTGCATTTCTACCATTTAGTCCTATTGGTACCATCCTATATATGAAAAAAAGTCAGGGGTCTGCTTAATAGAGTTATCCCTTTACTTGGGTACTTTATAGAAATACCTTGGAGTAGGCCATCAAACAATCCTAGCTTTAGCTTCTTGAAGAAGGAATGGACAATTTCAGGAACATATACCTACCTTCCCAATAACATTTTGGACCATTTCAGATGTCTTGTTTTCTTTTCTTTTCTCTTTATTGTCCACCTGCTTTAATTTCCCCTTCCTTCTTGGTATTCTTGTTTCTCTTTCACTTTCAGTTTCTGTGCTACTTGACAAATCTTCTAAAGATGATGAAGTCTTTTTATTTTCCTGGTTTTCTTCTCTGTTTGAATCAGTGGTCTTCTTGGACAGAGCAGATTTAAAGTGGCTTTTCTTGCATTGTGGGATTTCATTTTGTGGAATATCAGTTTCTTTTTCTTCATCATTTTGTTGTTTAACATGATCATTTACATCACTGGCTAATCCATTAGTTGATGCCCTATCTTCATTTATTTTATGTTTTTCATGTTTTTGATGATGATGATGATGATGCATTTTAGCATCACCTGTGCACTGACAAGGTAGTATGTCACATGCTAGATGCATATGTGGCCATAGTTTATCCTGATAAATATTTGCTTCCCTTTCATCTACATTTGACTCTAGATGCTGACAAGGTCGTGAGATAACAGGTGTTACTATGGACCGAGTACTAGTGCCATAGCTGGTAACCATAGAAACAGGAGCATGTGATCCACGTATAGTATCATCCATGTTGCTAGAAGCAGTTGTGGTTACTGATGGTGTTTGTACAGCAGTAGATGAAAAGACTTGTGGTGTTACTTCTGGTCTAGGTTGACCAGGAAGTGTTGATACCCCTGAGGGGCCTGGTAAAACGTCATCGAAGGTATTAAGACCAGGTAAAGTGATACTAAATGGCTGTGAGGAAGCCCTATGAGTTACATCAACAGGCCTCCTAATATTATATGGATCAGTCTTCTTGACATGGACTCTAACACCAAGTCCTGACACTTTTTCTTGAGCCTTTTCCATTCTCCTGGCCAGACGCCACTGATATAGTATATCATCTTCTGGCCAGGGATTTTGATGGCTGATAGGTTCAGATCTTTCTGCAGTGGGTATCTTGGTTTTCTGAGGAGATAATTTGTAGCCACTCAGCCCTGCCATGTGTTGGGCAGGTTTGTGCTCAGCAGGTTTTTTTAATGGAAGGGGGAAAGGCTCAGTTGAAATAGTTTCAACGGATGTCTCACTAGAAATGGGGGAAAAAAGAATATATATTAACTGAAACAGCTTTACTTTAATGGTCCAATAGTTTGCAAACTGGTCTTGCACGTAAATAGTACAAACCAGTCTAGCTATGATAATAATGGCTTCTTTTACTACGCCACATTATTTAATGCACGAACCTTTTCTCTAATAACTCTTTGGCTCTTCTGTCCAATTCTGCAGTGGTTCCGTCATCCACATGAACAGATGAGGGTGAAGACATTGCACTTGTATACCTATCTCTCTAAATGAAGTAATAAGACAATCTTTAAGTCGAAGTTTTGTTCTCATTTTGAAGATTAGGATTCACACTAGAAACATTGTACATGTTCCAAAAGTGGGAAACACTGAGAGGGACTTTCAGAAAGTCTTAGTACACTGTTAAGTACCATGCTTACCTTCATAGTGGTTGGTGAAGGAGGTTTCATTGGAGATAAAGGGAGCTTTTGTGGAGGAGTATGGCCAGGAACAGGAGTGGACTGTCCACTGGGGGTTGAGGGTCCACTAGGAGGGGACAGCCACCAGAAGTTAGGTTTCTTCTTGCTGATGAAAGACGCTTGGTCACGCTTCTGCCGATCAGTTGGGGGTGCGTTTCGGAATCTATTGATGTACCTTCAAAGGAATTTTTGGAAGTGAAAAAGCTTGATTTGAAATGAAAGGAAAGATAACCTTGTTCAAGAAAATATCCAGGTTTCTCTACTCAGCCCTCAACACCCCTCAGGAATAAATTCATTTCTCCCCCACTGCCCAAAGTGGGCCATGGAGAATTTGACACTTCACTCCGCAGGGCAGGTGATACACCTGTACAGCAATAGGACACAAAGTCCATAAAAGTCTACTCACCCGAAGCAGCTTAGTATCAAGGGATTAGGGTATTTTTGGAAATATATATTTCAGGGTTTTACTTTACCAGCCAAGAGTAGAGTTTCCAACTGGTTTTTCTTGTCCTTCCAGCCATTCTCTCATTTGTTGTGACATCTCTGGTGATGACACTGTTCCATCAGACAGGGGGGTGCCAAGTGAACCAGTCCGCTCAGTGCTTGGCCAGGACTCATTAAACTGTGATGTAGATGATAGATCGGCTGTGGACCCATTCTCTCTTGTGGGGATTTCTTGTGCAGTCCTAAGGGTGTTAGTCTCCTTGAGGAATTTTAGATCTTCTGGACTTGACACTTGATGTTGTGTGTCTTTTGAGGTGTACGGGGCAGACAGACATACCTGTATATATGTACAATGCTTTTGTTGAAATATTATTTCCAGTTACTAGGCTTAGCGACGTGACAATACAATGTGAAATTTGAGAACAAAACTGTGTAAAGTGATCATGAGTTTAAATAATATGATTATAGTAAGCTATGTTTCCTTACCTTTTTCTCTTTCTTACTTAGTTCTTTCTCTTTTGACGGATAATAAAAGGCTTTAGGTAAAGGCTCGACTTCAAAAGGATCACTGTGAAAAACGGAATARATTTTTTCTAAAACTCGATAAAAACAAACGAAAAAAATGTTTATCGGCGATCAACGTAAGTCTAATTTGTTTTGAGTTCAAGATAAAATACTTACGATTTTTTCATTATATATTAAAGCTGACAGGATGGAAGATAGAAGAAGAAATGTTTTGTTTTTGAAGCACAAAAAGAAATTTTGATCAAAACAAAACAGCGATTTTCAAAAATGGCGGTGAACTATTGATCACGTGACTGTATCTAGCCAATCAAATCGACCGGTGAAATAACACCACAGGTACCCCATAAATGTGTAGCCGGGGCAGTGGGCATTTTCTGGAATAGTAAATGGGAGGGAAAGATTGGAAGGAGGAAAGGTAGGGAAATAGAGAAAAAGGTAGCTTTTCCCTCTCTACTTTGCTACTACTTTTTAATTAAGCCGGGTAATGTAGTCTAGAAGAGGGATGTGATGCGTTTGTCATTGAAATTTATATAGCGCTGTCTAAGAAATTTTTTCCTACTTAACTTCAACTACCCAAAGGCTTTATACAAAGTTGACTCTCATAAGCTTAACGGTGTGATGTTTCAACATGCCTTACCGTGTCAAGGGTCATCAGAGGATGCCGCTAGCGGACATCCGCCTGACAACGACCACAGCGGAAGAAAGCCTGGTACAAATTTATAAGGGGCACGAGAGATTTTGGCCAAGGAAATTTATCGGGAAATTTATCCATACGAACTTAAAGAACAGCATACCCCGTGTGTAGTGATGGGAGGTAGCAGCAGATTGTATTAAGGAAACGAACTTTTAATATGGTATTTTTTTAAAAACATCTTTAATATTGACTCCCTATTCAAACCCATCAAAAAAATCTTGTGTTAAACTACAGGGCAATGTCTGGAATCATGGTAAGATGCACAATCAAGTTATTGCTTACTTGGTTCATCAATTTAAAGCTATCTTATAGAAGAAAGAGGATTAATGATGATATTAATAAAATGACTGTGATTAAAAATGTTGAAAAAAGGGGGGAAACATGGTTGTTCGTGTAGCAAAAATCTTACCCTATTTTCGAACTAAGGAAAATGTTTGTTTGACTTCTTTTGGTTGACAACGAAAAATATGATTTCATTTCGGAAGAACAAGCGTAAACCAATAGTGCTTCAGATAAGAGATCGATATAAAGCGCGTTCTTTACAGCGCACACTTTTTAGAGTACTCTTGTAATTAAATCTCTTTTACGAGTGGTTTGATGGTGTAAGTGACTTACATTTCATCAAAATGGAAGAGGTTAGCGTTACAAGTTTTACTAACAATATCAATTAAAAAWWTTTTTTTTTTCAATAGCGCGACTCAGCCCGAGGGAGGGGTGGCACTAATTATGTACCAGCCCCTTATCACTATCGATACTGAACTTCAGCTCAGACTCACACACAGTGTTTGTATTCTTGGGTGACTTTTCTTGTTTTTAATCAAGTTTAGACTCCTTCCTACCAAAAATGATCAAAATATAGGCCCTTTACCTACTATCTGACTCACTCAAGCGAACAACCGAACCATGGAGAAAGGATTTCCTCCCAGATTCGACCTGCAACAGCAGATTGGAAAGTAAGGCACTACAAGATTGTGGCCTGATATGGACGACACCGTACACTTTTGTCACTCTTATTTTCATCACGAGCTTAAGTTGTGTGATTCAAGGGATTTACAGTTTGGTGCTGTGTTTGGTTATCTTTCAGGGGTACTTTCAGTGTGATAAAGCGATGCATAGACAAGAAAACAAACAAAGTTTGCGCCGTGAAGATTGTAGATGTGGACAAAATGACATCGTCCTGTGGTCTAACCGAATCAGGTAAAAATCAAACACCGCTTGAATAAAACTGTCAATTCAACTAAAATACATCAAAATGACAGTAAATGAATCTACGTTTACTGTTTAACGGTATCTGTTTTGTAGTACAGCCCTCTAATCGGAAGGATGAAATTCGGATTAAAAACAATAGTAGAAAAACCTGCCTGAAGATGCGGACTCCCTGCCTCGAATTTCCAACTTCTAACGTTTCGAGATTTGTTGAAGAAAAACCATCTAATATAACTAAATCTGAAGGAATAAATAGTATTCTTTACTTTTCATTATTATGTATTTTCGAGATGGTAGTTCCGATATTATGATCGATCAAAATTGTTTCCAACGTACGCGCATATTCATGGTAATTTATTACAACATTTTGAGTCAAGTTTTTAATCGTTTGGTGCGGAGAAAAACTCCTTCATTCACCATCGATCCCTTGATATTCTTACGGTATTCAAAGATCTATAACACCGAAGATAAGCTGCCCTTGTCTTAGTTTGTTTATGTAGCAGAAAGCAGAGCAGTGTCGAAAAATCCGATTCGCGTGTAGCTCATTGTTTTACTGAAAATTAATGCATGGAAGAATTACGATCCCCCATCTTCACCAGCTGTTTGGTATTTTAGAATTTGCGCGCTGTAAACCTAGAGAGAATCTTTGCTATACTAACTTTTCTTTCTGTTTTCATGGCTAACTTAGATCTTCATCGAGAGGCAAGGATTTGCCAGAAATTGAAACACCAGCATATAGGTAAGTATTTGTTTTTGAATACACTTCTGTACCGCCGGGTCTTAGGCCATACGCGGTGCAATATTTCATGAATAAGTAGGCTTAAATTTCAGATTTTTAAAATCGTTCCCGTCAGCAGTTGACCCAGTTCTGTGAAGTTTTAGTTATTAATCTAGATGAATAAAAGATATTTTCTACAGTTACCAAACTTGTATCTTGCTAGCATGTTTACAACCCATATCGTTACTTCCCTTGTATTGTATTAAACCCAAACAACTTGGACACGGTTTTGTAGCTCCACATGTGAAGCCATCATTCCGATAACTACATTTATCCATTTATTCTAACAGAGACTCGATTTGACTTGCAAAAGTGTTTTCAATAATAACCCTCCCTCTTAATTTATTTTTCTCTCCAACTAAAAAAAACTCATTTAACTTCCAGACATCCACTCCACATTGCACAATACATTTTCACAAGATATTTGTGTTTTGACCCTAAGGCATTCCAGACTCCACACAGATACAACTCCCCAGATATTACATTCTGAATCATGAATGTCTCAAGGCATTAAGTATTTATGACCTACCAATTGGCTTTCAAAAAATTTGTAAAGTTCATTATTGTCATACAATAATATCGTAAAAACAACAAATTATGAAACTTTTGGGGTACAAGAATAAGAAATATACATATAATTAGCTCATGCCACACCCGTTAGCATATACTTGAAACTTTTTTGTGTTAAGTAGCAATTCTGGCCATTCAAGATGTGGTTTTGAATGTTTTTCCAAAGCTTGTTTTTACCACAGCTATTGCACTTCACTTCAAATATCATTCTCTCAGGAGTGGAAATAGATGTTGTTAGATAAGATCAACACCATTCATCTTGTTAATCCAAGAGTTTCCCTCATCTTCTTGTCAGTTTTTCATTACCACTTTTTTAGTTGCAAAATATTTATGAACCAGTTATTTCATTTCTCTAAATGAAATTATAATTTGTTATTATTTCTTATTAAATTCCTTAATTAATTCTTTATTATTTCTTTTGATTTTGATGTTTTTATCCTCAATAAAGATGATTTATTTTTTCAATAATTCTTTAAAAAATTACTTTAGTATAATTTAGTATTTATTCATGAATAGTTTTAAGGATTTGAATCCCAGCAGCCATTAACAGACAAGTCTTATCATGTACTTCCCCTATCGACTTTTTTCTTATGGTGTCATATCTTGTGGTTTGCAATAATCTCCTGAAATGCCACAAGTATGTCGATTATTTTAATAACATGTTGTTTTTGATTTTAGTGGAATTAATTGGTGGCTATTCCATGGATGGATTTGTCTATATGGTTTTTGAATAGTAAGTATGAATACACTTACTCTAGAATTAAATATCTTACAAGCTTTGAGGGCTTTCAAGTGATAAGAAATACTTCCAAACTCTTGTTGGTTAGGGTTTCTGAGTACTGATGATTGTTTTTGCTTTACAACCATTACTAACACTTCAGGAATAACAATAAGATATACAGTYGCACCATGAAAAGTTTATAGTATAAGTAATTCACATTATAAAAGATATGACAAACAAGGCCTTATTTTCATTCTATCTTCTAAAATCCCTCCCCCTCCCCCAAATAAAAAATATTTTATCCCTTACAAAATATATTCAAAAATATTAGCGAAAAATATATGCTAAATGTATTTACACCATTCTTGAAGTGTTCTTGTACTTTAAGTAGCATCTAGTGTTTGCCCTTTGACTTGTAATCAATGTAAAACATCAGAATATATACCAATAGTGTCCTGTTACATGTTTATTTATATTTCATAGTGTATATACAGCTTGATCATGTATGTACATTATGAGTCTAGATCATATTCATGATGTATGTGTTTAGCTGCTATATTATATTTTAGAAGTACTCTTCCTTGCCAATAAAAACATTCCTTATTTTACAGCCTTTATAGCAATCTATTACTGTCTCATGAATGTATATAGTTTGATATATGCACATAAATGGCTGCCAATTATTAGAACTAACTACTTATTTATGTTTGGCAAAAGGATATTACCTTGATTTACAGTCTTTATGTTGTATGTCCCCAACTGTGATCATAACATAGTTATTAAAAGCACAATAATTTACTGCATAATATAGGCTGATCCCCACTGATGCTATTCTTTACATTTTACTTCATTAGCATAGACCGAACTTTAAGCTACAAAACAAGCATTCTCAAGATGGAAAAATAATTATTTTCATTGATAGTTTCTAAGAATTTCAAACCATTTGGCTTGATACACTTTGATTTTTTTTTTTACAAGAAATGTACAACTCTTACCACCTAATATTCAACTCATTATACTACTCATTAAACCTTTTGCTAATTTTTTGCAATAATTATCATACTTTAGTTTGGATGGTTCGGATCTGTGCTTTGAAATTGTAAACAGAGTTAATGCTGGTTTTGTCTTCAGTGAGGCTGTTGCAAGGTACAGTGATAATAAACTTATAATGCACTATATATAGCTTCAGGTTATATTTTTCAAGAGTATTTATGAATGAGTGGCATTGTTTTTTTCATACAGCCATTACATGAGACAAGTTCTTGAAGCTGTATCATTTTGTCATGAAAGAGGGATTATCCACAGAGATCTTAAGGTTTGTAAATTACCATATTAGTTTTTGTCTCGCATACTTCCCCCTTGGTATTTCAGCACCCCCTAACCAATACAAATTACCCTCCTAACAGAACTTCAACCCCCCTTTCCCCCACACCCC